ATTAAAGTCACCCCCAATAATCATGTGTGGAGTAGAGAAGGAACTGCCAGAGTTCGCGGCATATACTGTAGATTCAACAAAATAAGGGGGTGTCACCAAGCATGCATTCTAGAATAATAAAGCGACCGTGATGATCGACCTTTTAGGAAACGACCCGAAGAGAGCAATGTGTCCGAATCAGAATTGTCACTCCAGCCTTCCCAGATGGATCAAAGGCCAAGAAGGATTGGGAAAAAAACCTTGAGGCAAAACGAAAGGAGCCAGTTGATTTAAAATGGGTCTCCTGAACAAAAATAATGTCTGCTCCTGAGGATCGGAATGCCTTCAAAGCCATCCACCGTTTCTAAATGGAGTTTAAGGCCTTTAACATTATATGACAGAAGTCGTAAGGCCATCACAAAATGACAATGGATATAGCATGTGAACCAGCAGAATAGGTAAATGGGATACCATTGATGGAACAAAACCGAAAACAAGTAACATTAATAGATCACATAAGATGTAACCGGAAACATTACAGTAAAAAACATAGATATCCATAGGGATATACACTTGGGAAAAACATCTATACCCAAGTCGTCCAGGCCAGTGGCTGGACGGGAATCGGAGGCAACATGACAACCGAAACATAACAGTCGCCAAACCCAGCCAGAAAAAAAAACAATATAAATGAAAGCACCCAGCAAGGACTAAGCCAGCAAGAAAAAAAAAAAGGAAGGGGGGAGGAAGGGGGAGGAGGAGAGGAATGGGGGAGGAGAAGAGGAAGGGGGGAGGAAGAGAAGGAGGGACGGGGAGGGAATGGGGGAGGGGGGGAAGGGATAATCTGAAGTAACCACAGGGGAACACCCTAGAAGAGCATCAGTTAGGCTCATCGCTGGAACGAGGAGCACGAGGACGCTGTGGAGTACGTGAAAGATGCTTCTGGCCCCCATGAACTGGTGTCCAAATCTTGTTCGGGGTAACGGAAGGGCGAGATGGTGTAGGCGGTAATGAGGAGGTGTCTTTTCCGATAAAGGAGGTAGTCCCAATTGATTCAGAAAGGAGTCCGCCTTTAAAAGATCAGGTAGGATAACTTGGGAATCATCTTTGGAGACGAGCAGCTTGAAAGGAAAATCCAGCGATAGGGGACACGGTGATGCTGAAGATGTGTGGTGATTGGTTTCAATGCCCACCGTTTGGCCAGGGTAATCAGAGAGAGATCACAAAAGAGCTGGAGACTGTCCCCTTTAAATTCCAAGGAGGGCTTGTTGCATTCTGAGGACAAAAAGGCATATTTGATTTAAAAAAAATTAAAGCGGACAATGACCTCACATGGTCTAGTGCCATCAGCAGGTCTAGGGCCTAGTGATCGGTGTGTCCTGTCTAGGCACCAATCTGCTTCTGGGACCATGGGGGCGGTCGCGGTGAAGAAGAAAGACAAAAGATGTCAGTGAAGTTGAGAATCGGTAATAGATTCAGACATACCGCGAATACAGATGTTCTGTCTACGTTCCCTGTTTTCCAAATCTTCTTGTTGGAACTGGATTTGGGACATGGTGTGTTTCAGATACGCGTTATCTTCTTCTAAGACATGGACATATTGCACCAATTCGTCAAATTTATTCTCCAATTGATCCGCACGTTCACCGATCTGAGCTATTTCCCCTCTAAGATCCAAAGCCAGTTTGCCCACTTCAGCAGAAATAGAGGCGGTAATGTTGCGTAGAAATACTTGTAGTTTTTCATCCAACGCAGATACCGTGAGAGAAGGCAACACATGCGGAGTGGCAGGAGCAGAGGAATGGTGACTCAAAGAAGGGTGTTCTGGAGCCCCCCCTACTAATGTCAGGGGCTCAGGATCCTCCATCTGGGGGTGTAAAGAGGTTGGGGATGCTGGCTGCTCAATTGCAGATGAAGCTGCAGTACCTCTCGCGCCGCTGGGTCCAGAGCTCGTCCTCAGGCCTGCGGCCATACTCGAGGCCGGGTGTCAGGGCTCCCGGGTATGACCAGAGGTGTGTGACTGACGCAGGGAAACGCAGACTTCAGATATGTTATAACCAATATAATTTATTAATACTAACAATACAAACATAAACGCAGTGCAATACTAAACATAATACAGTGCAAACAAACCCAACCAACCACCCACAGATAACAGTACATACAATGCGAGCGTCGTCAGGCAGGCCGGGTCAATATCAATCGGGCAGGTAGGTACAGGGGGAGCAAGCGGAGAATGGTCGGGGTCACAAGCCAGGGTCAGCAGGTAGCGGGCAGCGTGGTACAAAGGGTCAGGCAGAGGGATGGTCAGGAATGAGCCGGGGTCAGAGCAGGAGAAGTCAGCAGAGGTATAGATCAGGCCGGGTCAGCAACAAGACAGGAACAGGAATAGGAACAGGAACAGAAACAGGAAGCAGGGAACAGGATACAGGGCCCAGGAAAAACACACACCAAGGCAGAGTCTGCAGGTCTGGCCATCCCTTAAATACACCAGTATAAGCAGTTTCAGGTGTTTGGCTGGCTGCAAGATTGAGTCTCTGATTGCTGGGAGCACCCGCTGGCCAGCCCTGGTACTGCAGTCCATAAGGCAGGTGAGTCCCACCATTGCTGGCCAGTCCATTCCTGACAGTACCCCCCCCTCAAGGAGCGGCCTCAGGACGCTCCAAACAGTCCTAGCTGGGCAAAATGTTCCACCGCCCGGGTCTGGTAACTGGCGGGATATCAAAGACTGGCACACCGGGCAAGACTCTGGGCAGCGGCACATCGGGCTGGACTTCTGGGCAGAGGCACATCGGGCTGGACTCCGGGCAGGGGCACATCGAGCTGGACTCCGGGCAGAGGCACATCGAGCTGGACTCCGGGCAGAGGCACATCGAGCTGGACTCCGGGCAGAGGCACATCGAGCTGGACTCCGGGCAGAGGCACATCGAGCTGGACTCCGGGCAGAGGCACATCGAGCTGGACTCCGGGCAGAGGCACATCGGATCACCAGGCGAAGCAGCAGGCAGCGGGCCACCAGGCGGAGCAGCAGGCAGCGGGCCCCCGGGCGAAGCAGCAGGCACCGGGCCCCCGGGCGGAGCAGCAGGCGTCGGGCCCCCAGGCGGGGGCAACAGGCGTTGGGCCCCCAGGCGGGGCGACAGGCGTCGGGCCCCCAGGCGGGGTGACAGGCGTCGGGCCCCCAGGCGGGGTGACAGGCGTCGGGCCCCCAGGCGGGGTGACAGGCGTCGGGCCCCCAGGCGGGGCGACAGGCATCGGGCCCCCAGGCGGGGCGACAGGCATCGGGCCCCCAGGCGGAGCGGCGGGCGCCGGGCCCCCAGGCGGGGCGACAGGCATCGGGCCCCCAGGCGGGGCGACAGGCATCGGGTCCCCAGGCGGGGCGACAGGCATCGGGCCCCCAGGCGGAGCGGCGGGCGCTGGGCCCCCAGGAGAGGCGACAGGCATCGGGCCCCCAGGAGAGGCGACAGGCATCCGGCCCCCAGGCGGAGCGGCGGGCACCGGACCCACAGGCGGAGCGACAGGTCTCGGGCCATCAGGCGGAGCGGCGGGCGCCGGACCCCCAGGTGGAGCGACAGGTCTCGGGCCCTCAGGCGGAGCGGCGGGCGCCGGACCCCCAGGCGGAGCGACAGGTCTCGGGCCCTCAGGCGGAGCGGCGGGCGCCGGACCCCCAGACGGAGCGACAGGTCTCAGGCCCCCAGGCGGAGCGGCGGGCGCCGGGACCCCAGGCGGAGCGACAGGTCTCAGGCCCCCAGGCGGAGCGACAGGTACCAAGTCACCAGGCACGACAGTGGGCTCCGAGTCAACTGGCATGACCGCTGGCACTGGGTCAGACATTGGATCGTCTGGCTGGACAGCGGGCATCGGGTCACCAGGCATCAGGTCACTTGGCTCAACAGCGGGCACCGCGTCATCTGGCAAGGCAGTGGGCACCAAGTCACCAGGCATGACAGTGGGCTCTGAGTCAATTGGCACGACAGCGGGCACCGGGTCATTAGGTACCGGATTGTCTGGCTCGACAGCGGGCATCGGGTCACCAAGTATGACAGCGGGCACTGGGTCACCAGGCATCAGGTCACTTGGCTCGACAGCGGGCACCGCGTCATCTGGCAAGGCAGTGGGCTCCGAGTCAACTGGCATGACCGCGGGCACTGGGTCAGACATTGGATCGTCTGGCTGGACAGCGGGCATCGGGTCACCAGGCATCAGGTCATTCGGCTCAACAGCGGGCACCACGTCATCTGGCAAGGCAGTGGGCACCAAGTCACCAAGCATGACAGTGGGCTCTGAGTCAATTGGCACGACAGCGGGCACCGGGTCATTAGGTACCGGATTGTCTGGCTCGACAGCGGGCATCGGGTCACCTGGCCTAATAGGATCATCAGGCTGGATCAGTTCATCAGGCTGAGTAAAGGCATCCGGCTGAGTAGAGGCATCCGGCTGAGTAGAGGCATCAGGCTGAGTAGAGGCATCAGGCTGAGTAGAGGCATCAGGCTGAGTAGAGGCATCAGGCTGAATAGAGGCATCAGGCTGAGTAGAGGCATCAGGCTGAGTAGAGGCATCAGGCTGAGTAGAGGCATCAGGCTGAGTAGAGGCATCAGGCTGAGTAGAGGCATCAGGCTGAATAGAGGCATCAGGCTGAGTAGAGGCATCAGGCTGAATAGGGGCATCAGGCTGAGTAGAGGCATCAGGCTGAGTAGAGGCATCAGGCTGAATAGAGGCATCAGGCTGAGTAGAGGCATCAGGCTGAATAGGGGCATCAGGCTGAATAGAGGCATCAGGCTGGGTACAGGCATCAGGCTGGGTACAGGCATCAGGCTGGGTACAGACATCAGGCTGAAGTGCGGGTGCCGAGGCACCAGGCTGAACCACGGAAGGCAGCTTCTCAGACGGCAGGCTCACCAGTTTGGATACTGGCAGGATGGTATTGGTTGGAAAGAATTTTTGCTTTTTTCTGGTTTTAACTACTGGAGCACTGCAAGTAAACGCAGGTCTGCAAACGAATGGAGCAGCTGGAGACAGAGAAGAGCTGGAGGATGGAACAGAGGAGGGAACAGTTGCTACAGAGGGCTTCTTTACAGGGTTAAAGAAAGGATAGGTGCAGCGAGTGGGAACAGGGTACTGACATGCGGTAGATAGCAGGGCAGGAGGAGCTGTTGGGAATGCAGGAGTAGAGCTTTGAGGCAATAGATTGGAAGCAGGACTGGGTTTTTGCAAGCTGACTGAGGCTGGGTGCAACAAATCTGTCCATGTCTGCAGTATGGGTTGAACAAAGCTGAGTTTACACAAAGTCTGTCTGACCAAAGACTGCACTGCGTTTATACAATCCCTTAATACCTGTGGTGAACATGTGGAATAACGCTCCAGAAAGTAATCCACATCATCCTCTAATAACCATACCAGGGACTCTACCTGGTCGGCACTAAATGGTGGCAAAAATTCATCCCTGCATTCGGGGGGTACCAGATGAAACCAACTCAGCACAAACCTCAATCAATGGGCTGCACTCAGAGAACTCTGTGCCCTGATCTACTAGAACATGAGCGAGCCGTATACATTCTAGCAGTTCATCCGGGTATACTCCTTCAGGGTCTGATAAGCATACTCTCTGTCATCAAATACTAGCAGATATAAATACACAACCTCATCCAGATCCATCCTTCCCATCAACAAACCAAGATGGCTTCCCTGTGCAGCCACTTCTGGTCAGGATTCGCCTTGGTGTAATGTCAGGGCTCCCGGGTATGACCAGAGGTGTGTGACTGACGCAGGAAAAGCAGACTTCAGATATTTTATAACCAATATAATTTATTAACACTAACAATACAAACATAAACGCAGTGCAATACTAAACATAATACAGTGCAAACAAACCCAACCAACCACCCACAGATAACAGTACATACAATGCGAGCGTCGTCAGGCAGGCCGGGTCAATATCAATCGGGCAGGTAGGTACAGGGGGAGCAAGCGGAGAATGGTCGGGGTCACAAGCCAGGGTCAGCAGGTAGCGGGGCAGCGTGGTACAGAGGGTCAGGCAGAGGGATGGTCAGGAACGAGCCGGGGTCAGAGCAGGAGAAGTCAGCAGAGGTATAGATCAGGCCGGGTCAGCAACAAGACAGGAACAGGAACAGGAAGCAGGAACAGGATACAGGGCCCAGGAAAAACACACACCAAGGCAGAGTCTGCAGGTCTGGCCATCCCTTAAATACACCAGTATAAGCAGTTTCAGGTGTTTGGCTGGCTGCAAGATTGAGTCTCTGATTGCTGGGAGCACCCGCTGGCCAGCCCTGGTACTGCAGTCCATAAGGCAGGTGAGTCCCACCATTGCTGGCCAGTCCATTCCTGACACCGGGGATTGCGGTCTAGTGAGGAATCGCTGCAGCGGGGAGGGCCATGGGTCATGTGGTGGTGGGGAAGGGGGCTTCCAGCACCCCGATCTTCCCCATTATTCCTCCCTTATATGCTGAGCTGGGTGCGGGATTGCGGAGACTCATCTAGGGATGTCCGGAGGCCGTGGATGTGCCACGGGTGAGTCGCTAAGGTCGGGGATGGACGGCGCTTCAGACAAGTGCGACCTTCCTCATTCCCGGTCGTGCATGCGCCCCCCTAAAGACAACTGTTTAATGACATTAATGGCTGTAGTGCTACGAATATACCGTGGTGTTTATTTTCTGCAGGATCTTCCAGGTCATAAGCAGCTTCCGATTATGCCTATCCAATTCTTCTCGTACGAAAACAGTACACATTAAAAACAAAAATTGTTCGTTCTGTTCCCAAACGACAAAAATTTTGATGTTTTCACCATCGTTAATTTTCATTTGTAACATCAGAATCGGCTGTCGAAAATGATGTACACACCGTCAGAAAATTGCACAATTGCTCGTCAGACGAATACGTTCATCTGATTTTCTTATAGTGTGTACGAGGCATTAGTCAGTGGGTACAGCAATCTTCCTTTGTTTATTTTTAGTCATGGTGTAGCAGCACAGAAGTGTGAGCCTTTTCATTTTTAGACTTCGGGCATTGGTGAAAAAACACTTTAATTCATTGACACCTTGTGGCCACATATTTTGCATATTTATTTTCGTATAAATGGTACCAATTCCAATGGTTGTTGGTAAACATGGGAACCTTCTTATCATCTGCCATAGCCCTCCCCCATCTTTCCCCATTCCACCCACCAATAAGGACTGACACCTGTCTGCCTGATTATAATCTAATTCTCACCTCTCCCTCAATCCTAGTTTAAATACTCCTCCAGCCTTCCCATAAACCTCTCCCCCAGCACAGCAGACCCTCTTTGCATTTAGGTGCAAACTATCTCTAGCATATAGGTTGCACCCCAATGAAAAGTCAGCCCAGTGCTCTAGAAACCCAAATCCTTCCCTCTTACACCAGGTCTTTAGCCATGCATTGAATTCTCTAATCTCACCTTGTCTTTCCTGAGTTGTGCATAGCTGAGGTCATTTTTTGGAGACTATAAGTACCATCAGCCATAGTGGCAGATGGCTTGTAGTTCACAATGAACTGTGAGGGCACTGGAGCGCTCTCGTAATGCCTGTTCTCAAGTAGCTGCCTTCCTGTAAGGAAGGTACGGGCAGACAGCTTACTGAGAGTATGCAGGAGCCTGATATTGCATCCACGATCTGCTGATAAATTTATCCTTTAAACACAGCAGCCACTGGGGCATGTTAAGAAAAAAAAGTTGTATTTTTAAAATATTTACTGTAGATTTCATTATGAATTTCATGTGTGAATTAATATGTGGTTTCAGAACCCGTTTAAAAAATGCATAACGTTTGTGGAAGAGATTTAGGGCATGTCGAGTATGGATGCCACCCATATTTTGGAGCAGTCATATTTGGTTGCAAAAATTACAAAAATACATAGAAACAAATATATTACCATAATTACACACATGTTGTGGACTTTTGAAATTATTTATCAAAACATAACCTTACTTCTGACAGCAAACCAGCCTAGCCATCTGTTAAGGGTTAACTTGTCTTGGTTGAAAATTCGAAATGACCCTCCAGTTAAGAAATGTAAATGATGGGTGAAGGGATCTTTTCCTAGAGACAATAGACTGTTTGACTATCCACAGGTAGTTTAATTCTAAGGTTTAGGTTTGACGACTATAAGGCTAGCTAAAGTGTATATATGTCAACAAATACTGTTTATATATTGGGGTTGAGTTGAATACATCTACAAAAGGTAAACAGACAGCCAGATGAGACATTGGACCTTCAAACATTGAGTCATCACACATAACCAAAAGACAATGATGAGACGGGAACTTAACTGGTTGAAAGTTTACCCAAAATCCTGTGGAGTGTGATGAACCAACAAACTTCTCGAATTGTCACAATATACTATTATCCACTAAGGTTAAAAGTATAAACGATTGTTTACCCTGACTCCAACACAATGGACAGGTAAACAGAGGGTCTTTTCTCCTCATGGGAATTCTGGTTCTAACACAAAAAGGTTAAATTCAGGAAATATAAGGCTAAAAACTGGATATCTCTACCCACAGAGATATTACTAAAAAGCATACTATCAATAGGATATTATAAAGAGTATGTTTCACACACCACAAAATATTCAGCAGAATGGGGATTGTATATCACTAACTTGAGTATTGAGATGAGAAAAAGTAAGATATATTGTGAATTAGCATTAGTTGTATGTCTTATCAGGAAACAAATGCTTTCACACAAGTTGTATCTCAGGGAAATGAATAACCGAATATACACATATATTCCATGGTTCCTATTTAGAACATTATAGCTATGATCACCTATATATATCTGGATAAGACGTATATTTAATACCTGAAATCACCTTGAGTTCCACCCAAGGTGTGAGTCATCATAAATACTCAAATTGTTCTATGAGCTCTGACTGCCACTTAGTGGACAGGTGAGAGATAGCTTAAATACATACATTTCTCAACCAGCCAATCAAAAAGCCTGGTGGGAGGGTCTCTTAGAACAATAGTTTAGAATGGTATAAGAACCCATGCACCTCATTTAAAAGAAAACTCATTGAAAAAAACCTCATTGAAAAAGGAACAACTGACTGAAGAACCTGACTGAAAACTGACTGAAGATATCTGAAGAGGCTGAAATCCATCTCTGCTGTCTATCAACTCTTCCATCCTTTCAAACTTCTAAAAACTTTACT